ACCCACGATTGAGAGAATACAAAGGTTGCGCCGATCTCGGACCGCTATTCCTCTTTTAACGAATTTGACAGAATCGTTGTTTGCATGACGTCACACTTGTGCAACTTGTTTACGTTTTCCTTGCAACATTTTTCTTCTTCTTCCATTCTTGCTCACGTTTTGGCATTTCTCTCTCGCAATTGCGCCAGTGTGACGTCACACAAAAGTTATTCTCAAAAATCCTCTCTGATCGGCGCAATCTTGTACTCTATCATTCTTGCTATCGACCCAGAACATCGGTTTTTTCGCTCTAACAAAATATTTAGGTTTTAATTTTGTATATAGTATAGATCAGTGGTCGGCGCTTCATACCACAATTATGGAAGATCAACTCACACGTATTCTTACGCTCTATCATTTAGTCGTTGGCTAGAGAGCAACGAATAAACATCGTGGTTGAATGTTGCGCTTTGTTTCTTGTATGCAAAATGCGAGAAATACTACATGCTTGAAAATGCTTTTGGTGACATGCAATGCCTTTTGTGTTATAAGTCATTTAATAAATAAAGAATATGCTATTCAACGACATTTTGATTCTTTTCATAAGGAGAAATTTGATGAAGAAGAAATACAACGACTTTTTAATGAAAAAAAGTTAATTTTTTTTTTTTAAAAGAAATAAAGGGTGGTTGTTAAAGGGAATATGTATGCAATTATAAGACATTTTTAATCATTTCATAATGATATGGAAAATTTTGATGAACATGAATTTTTTTTAATTTAAATTTTCAATATTTGACGTGGGTGAATCCAAATAAATTTTGAAATTTTTTTTTGAGATTTACTTCAATATTTTCGTAACTCAAAAAACTAAAAACTCGAGAAAACCAGTTTTAGAGTTTTGAATTTACATATACTCTAAAGGAAAAATTACTACATATTCAGCTTTATCATTTGTTTCCGTGAGTTTACTATGTGCGGTTGAAAATTTTTCGGGTGAATTCTTTTTCTGGCGAAACTCAGGATAAAGCTGATTTTGTTCTAGTGAGCTACTGGTAATCGTTACAGCTATGAAATTTTTACACATTATAAGAAAGAGCTAATGTTCATTCTGGCAAACTTAACCCGATTTTTGCTTTTTTGCGATTTGATACTTTTATAGTAAATGAGCGATGCACATATATGTACATATGTATGTGTTAAATATATGTATTTATATGTTTTTATTGAAGACCGATAAGTTACAAATTTTGTTTCACTTCTCGTAATTTCCTACTGGGTTGCTCATGCAGAGCAGTTCTCTTGTTCTCACCAACACAGTCACAGTTTAACTTTTGCCGACCACTAGTATAGATTCACTATTCAATAATACAAGGTTATGTAATTTGTGGCTGCTCAAATTTGACACTCCTTGAACTCCTTGAAAATCTTTATTTATTTATTCGGAACGTTGCGAAATTCCGTTTACTGCTAGAAACACAAAACAAAAACAGAAATTTTGCAGCGCACATAGGGGTATTTGAACGATTTAAGCGGCCAAAAACCAATTTGACGAAATTTTGGAGAAAACTTAAAAACTTCGTCACTTTCAATAGAGAACATTCCAAATAACATTTCTCAGTCCCCCTCACTTTTCTAACTTGCAGAGCGAACGCTCACCGTTGACCGGAAACAGAATATTCTAACGCTGCTTATAAATAAATTTTCGCTATCTAGAAGATCGTGACGGTTTTAAATTAATATTTTGATTTCTGCATTATATTCTTAAAAAGTAGTGATGGATCCGCATACAGAAGGTAATAATGCATTTAAGGGTAAATTTTTTTATCATTTTATTAAGCAAAAGTTCAATTCAAATGTAACGAAAAGAGTATTTTCGTATTTTTTTGTTAATTTTTGTAAATATTAAGGAATTTTTTGTATCCCCGGGGGAGATCGCGTTATTATTCTTTATTCAATTGAAAGCTTAGAAATTTTCCTAATATAGCGTGAAAAGACTGCCCGCAGAAAATGGCAGATAAGTGGTATTTCTTTACTTTGAAAATGTGTTAAGGAAAAATCTAAAAACGCAACTAGTATATAGTAACACTGCTTTAGATATACATATTTTAACACTAAAATTAAACTTTTTAGGTGAATTTGAGGCTCCTGAACTAGAATATCAATCCATTTAATTTAAAAAAATAAATTGTTTTCGAGATATTAGCAAAAGTCATGTTGTCTAGGACCTTTCGGTCCTGTTGCTAGTAATCTGCGGGAATGTAAGGCGAACCCAACAATGTTATATATTTAGGAATAAACCTTTGTTTTCCTTTACATTGGTGTTGTATCAGTGATGATTAAAGAAATAGTTTTGGGTATACAAGCGTTTAAATTTAGATAAATGTCAATTTAGATAAATCTACGATATTTTAGTAAATATTGTATCCAAATTTTTAAAAACTTGTATGTGAAGTAAAATTTTGGAACAATATAGGATTATTATTAAATTTTTGGGAAATAGGAGTGGCCCCGCCCACTTATGATGAAATGCTGTATCTCAGTATCCGCATCACTAATCCGTATTAAACTCGATATGAGCCTTACTTAGGCTATATCTAACATAACTGCCAACAATTCTTGAAATCGGGCGATAACCACGCCCACTTCCCATATAAAGGTAATTTACAGAAACGCGAAAACTGCGATAAATTAATAACTACCGAAGCTAATTCACTCAAAATCGATTTTTGGAATAACCTCTCAGCATTAAAAAAAATTATAATTTTTTGTTAGTGTTTGGTATTTTAGGCTATTTGATCAAGTAAGTTCCTGTGCAAGAAAAAATACTTTTTCTTCACTTTCCAGCCCGACGTTTCGCTGACCTTCTCAGCATCTTCAGGGGCGATTTCTTTATTAAA